CCACGCACACCCCCTGCCCCCACACTCACTCCGCCGGCAGAACTCGGCAAACTCCTCCAGGGGGGAGCTCAGGGCCGCGGGGAAAAACCTCCCGGGGTCCTCCATGTAGCAGAAGGGGGACACGGGCCAGCAGCGCGGGGACAGGGCCAGCACCTTCACCTCCGGCACATCCGCCACCGAGGCCGGCGCCTGGGCACGGGGACACGAGGGGGGCTCAGGACAGGGCCCGGGAGCCCCGCAGGGAACGCGGGCGGCCCCCGGCCTCCCCACCCCACCGGCACCCTCACCTCCTCCAGGCCCGGCTCCAGCTCCAGAAGCCGCCTGTCCTGCTCCTGCAGCTGGAAGAGGTGAAACTGCTGCTGGAGCTCCTCCGACTCCGCCAAGTTGCTCAGCATCTGCTGGGGGAAGCGGCTGGGGAAGCACAGCCCGATCTGCTCCACGATGGCTCCCTCCAGCCAGGACGGCCCTTGCGCCAGCAGCCGGTCACCCAGGTAGTGCCTGCCACGGCCACCAGCAGCGGGTCAGGGGCCGGCCCGAGCCCCGTGGCCACCAGCCGCCCGCCGGGAGACAGAGACACCCCCAGGCACACGGCCTGGCAGCGCCCCGTGGGGACGCAGCCCCCCTCACCGGTAGAAGTGCTCGAAGGTGTGGGCCAGCTCCAGGCCACTGAAGACGACGAAGGGCTCCAGGATCTGCTGCAGCCGCTGCAGCGGCCCCGCGCTGCCCCCGGCCCCGTGGAGCTCCTGGATCTGCCCGTCCAGGTAGCGGGCAAACTGCTCGCTCACCTGCAGAGGGACAGAGCTGGCTAAGGAGGGGGGACACGGGGTGGCCACAACCTCCCTGGGGGGCAAACCCTGGGGCTCTCGGGCAGGGGGTGCCCAGACACCAGCCCAAGGGCAGAGCGCGCCAGGGCTGGGGCCACGCCATTGACAAGCACGGCACAGCGGCAGTCGGGCACCGGGCAGGGCCACCGCAGGGCAGGGCCACCCCAAGGCCAGAGCGCGCCAGGGCTGGGGCCATGCCATGACAAGCTGCAGTCGGGCACCGGGCAGGGCCACTGCAGGGCAGGGCTCAGTGGCCCAGGGGGAGAACGACCACCCACCCAGAGCTTGCCCCGCGGCTGGGGGCCAGAGCAACCTCCCCAGCCCGCTGAGGGCACAACCCCGGTGCCGGTGCCACGCTCCCTCGACTCACGTGCAGGGTGGCAAGGAAGGAGAGCTGCAGCAAAGCCCCCGCGAAGCCCTGGCCCAGGGCCAGCACGAAGGCGGCCTGCTGCCCAAAGAGCTCCTCCGTGGCGCCGCGCAGGCGCTGGTACAGCCCGCAGTATCGCTCCACGAGGTCCGGCGCCTGCCCTGCCGCCTCCAGGAACCGCTGCACCTGCGGGAGGGAGGCAGCACCCGAGGGGTGAGAGCCCCAGAGAGGGAGGCAGCACTCATAGGGTGAGAGCCCCACAGCGGGAGGCAGCACCCGAGGGGTGAGAGCCCCACAGAGAGAGGCAGCACCTGAGGGGTGAGAGCCCCACAGAGGGATGCAGCACCCGAGGGGTGAGAGCCCCACAGCAGGAGGCAGCAGTCAAGGGGTGAGAGCCCCACAGAGGGAGGCAGCACCCGAGGGTGAGAGCCCCACAGCGGGAGGCAGCACCCGAGGGTGAGAGGAGGGTGAGAGCCCCACAGCGGGAGGCAGCACCCGAGGGTGAGAGCCCCACAGCGGGAGGCAGCACTCATGGGGTGAGAGCCCCACAGTGGGAGGCACCACCAGAGGGTGAGAGGAGGGTGAGAGCCCCACAGCAGGAGGCAGCACCCAAGGGGTGAGAGCCCCACAGCGGGACACACCTGTGTGTGTCTCCCAGGAACATCCACAGCCCCAGCCTCACTCTGCTGACACCAGGTACGGCCCCATGCCCTCCCCAAGCTCCCGTGCAGGGTCCCACACGCCCCCTCCGGCCCCCCCAGCCGGCCCCCCAGGCTCTACCTGCTGCTGCACCACGCCGCGCCAGCACTGCGAGATGCCCCACAGGCCGCTCGACTTCTCCACTGCTGCCTTTGCAGCTCTGGATGGCACCTCCTTGTTCTTCCCCTCCTTCCCGCCTGCCAAGGGACAACCCTGGGCTCAGGGGGCTCTGTGGGCAGGGTCTGCACCCCGACCACCAACAGCCTCCCCCTCGCCCTGGGGGGCGCAGGGCAGAGGGCAGGGTCTGCACCCCGACCACCAACAGCCTCACCCTCGCCCTGGGGGGCGCAGGGCAGAGATGCCGGGGAGGAACCGCGGCGCCGGAGGGACGGCCGTGAACGTTCCCCAGCCCCGGAGCCTTCTGTGCACGGGCCTCCCCCACGGCTGCAGCCCTGGCCCTCTGGACCACCGCCCCCAGCCCCACGGGAGGGCAGCCCCTCGCTCACCGGCTGCTCTTGCCTCCTCTGCCTCTGGGACACCGGGGTCCACGTGCACCAGGAGCTGGGTCAGGCGCCGCACACGGGAACCGAAGGCGGCGCCGCGGCTCACGGGGCGGCTCGACGGCTCCTGGCTCTCCAGGTACTCGCTCAGCAGCCAGGACAGGGGGCTGACGCCATGGGGGTCTGTGGGGCCAGACGGACTCAGAGCCGGGTGCCTCAGCCCGGGGCACGGCGCCCAGGGGCCCGGGAGAGCGCGGGGTACCTGGGCTGGTGATGCTCTGCACCAAGGGGTTCACCAGGGCCTCCCAGCACGTCCTGCCCAAGGCCCGGGCCGCCTCGTCGTCGGGGAGGAAGCGGTCGGCGAAGCCCTGCTCGTGCCGCAGCGCCCGGTTCAGCCTGCAACAGCCAGCGGGCAGCACCCGGCGCTGACGGGCACCTGCCCACGGCCGGGGGGCTCCCCCAGGAAAGCAGAGCGCGGCGGTTGCTCCCTGCCCTGGCCCTTGCCGGGCACCGCGGCTCAGCAGCCCCCGTCACCCCCAGCAGCTGGGGCCCCTCGCCATCCCCCCAACTGGGGGGCTCTGCAGCGGCTGCAGCCGTGAGATCCTGAGTCTGACCAACCTCTGCCAGGTCAGGACACACCGGGCCCTGCACTGACCAACCTCTGCCAGGTCAGGACACACCAGGCCCTGCAAGGCGCCTCTCTGATGGGTTAGCTGGGGGGGGGGACCCCAGGGTGCCCTCTGGAACCACCGGTGGCCAGGGAGGGCCCCACCTCTCCAGGTGGGACACCCAACTGCTCCTCTCCTGGCCCTGCAGCCCCCCCAGCACCGTCCCCACAGGCCCCAGGACACCAGGGACGCGATGGCGCAGCCGGGAGAGAGAACTCACCTGCCAAAGAGCTGCAGCAGTCGCCCCCGGTCCCGGCAGATCTCCTGGCACCAGGCATGAGCCCGAGCAGTGCAGGAGAGGAACGTCCGCCGGCACAGGTGCTCCTTGAAGATGGGCCAGAAGGTGGGCTTGGGACCCAGCACCTCGATGCCACGCACACGCGTGTCAATGCCGCCCTACAGGAGAGTGTCACCCTCAGCTCCTCGGGCACGGCCCTGGCGCCCCACGCCGCCGGCCCCCTGCCCGGCCCCCGCTCCCCTACCTGCTGGCACCGCTTCACCCGGATCTGGATGACGGGCCAGAAGCGGGTCATGTTCTCCAGCAGGATCACTCTGCTGTCCGAGGGCAGGACGGTCACCTGCAGGCACACGGCGAGCCTTCAGCACGCCCGGCGGCGAGCACCAGCCACCCTGCAGGCTCCCCCGGCCGCCCCCCATCAAAGCCACAGCCTCTGTCTCCCCCAGCAGCCCCTTCGCAGCCACAGCCCCCCCCGCCAGGCCCCAGCTCCTGGCTCACAGCCCCCCACTCCCACACCAGCCCGCGCCAGACTGGGCTGCAGGGCTGCCCGTGCCCAGGGCTCCAGCACCCGCTGCCTGCAGCCAGGAGGAGGCTCCCGCAGCACAGCTCCTGCCACCCCCACCTCCCCGGGGGGACACCTCCCGGGGCCCCCCACCGAGGCGAGAGCGTCTCGGGGCACAGCAAGGAGCAGCCTGACGCTCCCGGGGGGCCCCGAGCAGCCCCTGCCAGACTCACCGCGTTGAGCTCCGTTCTGATGGTGGCAGGGCTCTCTCCCCCCAGCACCACGACACGGGCCGGCATGTAGCTGGAGTCCTCGCTGGCCACCAGCATGCTCATCTCCCTGCAGCACAGCAAACAGCCTGTGCCCAGCAGCCCCCACCACCCCGCCCTGGCCCCTGCCACCCCACGCGCTGCTGCCCACACCCCGCAGCCCCCGGCTCGGCGACCGCGGGGACAGAGCTCGCACAGAGCCCCGAAGCCCTCTCCTCCCCCCACAGCCACCGGGCCCCCTGGCCCCAAGGCCCCCCCGGCCCAGCCCCACCTGATCACCACCCCACACTGCATGTGGACAGTGATGAAGTGGGAGCCGGTGCTGCCGTTGGACTCCCAGTAGGTCTTGGGGTTCCTGTCCGTCAGCTTGCTGGCACGGTGCGGGTTGGAGGAGACCTGCACCTTCTCCCAGCACTTGTCCTCCTTCACCTCCACGCTGGAGCCTGTGGGGAGAGCACGTGGAGCCACCAGCTGCCGGGACAGCCCCCGCCAAGCGCAGGGGGCCGAGCTCCCTCTCCCCACACTCACCTCGGCACAGGTTGCGCAGAAAGACGTCAAAGAAGGGGATGCTGATGGGCCGGTGGCTCCGGCGGTGCTCCTCGATCTGCCCCAGCACCAGCTACGGGATGGGGCGAGACTCTCACCGGGGGGCCCTGGGTCCTCCTCCCCTCGCCCACCCCAGGGCTGCGGCAGGCAGAGAGCAGAAAGCTGCCCCTCGCTGCCAGGGACAGACGGACGCCCCCCGAGACCCAGAGCCTCCCCGGGCCCACCTGGATGCAGCCGGCCAAGATGCTGGTCGTCAGCTTCTTGTAGAGGTTGGCGTACTTCTCGCAGTCGCTCACCAGGTCGAGCAGGGCTGGCACCAGCGACGGGGCCGTGCTGTGCTTGTCCAGGGCTTTGGCCAGGGCCTCGCGGGTGCCCAGGCGGCACATCACCACCGCGCAGTCCTTGCTGGCCGTGGCCAGGCGGTGCAGGAAGCCAACCACCTCCTGCACCACCTGCCGAGCAGGAAGCCGTGAGGGGCCGGCTCCAGGAACGCCCCCCCCGGCCCCAGCAGGGGGACGCTGCCGCGCTCCATCCCCTCCACCCCGACGCCAGAGCCTGGCCGGGCACACCAGCCACCGGGACGTGCCCACGGCCGGGACGGCCGCCCCCCACCTCTCCCGGCACCTTGGCACCCCCTCACCTCCCGGTCGCTGCTGTGGGCGCTCAGGGAGGACAAACAGGGCTCCACACACTCGTGCCAGGGCAGCACGTCCTCCTGGTAACCGTCCAGGAACTTGTGCAGGATCCTGAGCCACAGAGGGAGCCCGCTCAGACCGGGGCACACAGACAGCAGAGCCACAGGCAGCCCCGCTCCCGTGCCCCACTCACCCCCTGCCCCACTGGGAAGGCTGGCACCCCACAGGGACTGGGAGCCAAGGCTCCACAGGCACCTCGGACACCCCATCAGCACCCAGCCGTGTGCTGTGCTGCTCCTGCGTGTCCCCACCAGCACCCAGACATACGCTGCTCTCTCACCAGATGGGCCCGTGCCCCAGGACACCCCAATCAGCACCCCAACTTAAGCTGCTCTCTCACCAGATGGCCCCGTGCCCCAGGACACCCCAATCAGCACCCCCTGACAGGAGCTGGAGTGCACTTGCCCCTGCCTCTGGTGAAGAACAGCCCCCTCAGGACCCACAAACATGCGCCATGGTGTCCCCCCGACAGCACCCGCACTCACACCCCCGCGGAGGGCCCAGACCCCCCACTGCATCCCCCTGGACCCACCTGAGGATGCTCAGGCTCACGTCCTTCTCCGCCCCCAGCAGCTCCAAGCTGCGCAGCAGCAGCCTGAAGCACCGCTGGTCCTGCAGCAGCTGGGCCACCTCGCCAGAGGGGACGGGGCCCCCGCTGCACAGCTGCCGCTCCAGGGCCACCACCACGTCCTTTGACAAGGTGCCGTCCCCCAGGCCGTCCAGAAGCTTCCGCACGTCCCTCAGGTCCAGCGGGGCCTCTCTGCCTGCTGTGACAAGGACACGTGGGCCACCCCACAGCTGCCAGCGGGGTGCTCTGCCCTGCCAGGCGAGGCAGCCCTGCCCGCTGCACCCCTGGGGCCGTGGCACGGCAGGGGCTGCGGGTGGCACGTACCTGCCGTCTCCGGGCCCGGGGGCAGCCGGTGCTCCGCCAGGCGGTTGATGGCGCTGAGGGCCAGCATGGCCTGAGGGCAGCCCGTGCTCTGCCCGTCCCACAGGCAGCTCTGGAGCACCGTGGGGAGATCACAGCTCGCCAGCTGCTCTGCCAGGCCCCGGTGGCTGTCCATCAGCATGTTCACCACCAGCAAGCCGTTCTCCACGCCTGAGGAGCCCCTGCAGGGACAGAGCGATGCGGGCCCCTTCCTCCCCTAAGCACGGAGCCCCCCTGCACCCCAAGCCACCCGCCTGCCTCGCCCAACCCCACCACGCAGAGGGTCCCCCCGCTCCCCCAGTCCTCTGCCCCTACCCTGGCACCCTCTGCATGGTGCTCATGGCAGCAGGGATGGCGCTCAGCAGGCTCGCCGAGCCCTCGCTGGAGGCAGAGCCGATGCTGGCAAAGATCTCCCGCATCATCTGCGCGTCCGCGTGGTTCAGGGCCAAGGGCTTCCCACCGGCACCTCCTGCCTCGCCGGACACGGCGCCCACCAGCACCTTCAGGGCCTGCAAGGTCAACGGCAGTCAGGAGGGCAGCGGGCATCTCCGCCACCCCGGGCGAGCCTGCACCCTGCCCGCCCCCCTACAGCACCCCCTGCCACACTCACCGCCAGGCCAGCCTGCTGCACCAGGGCGGAGGAGGCGTGCTGCTGCATGCAGGCCAGCACAGCCCGCACGCCGCCCTCCGTGGCAAACGGCAGGCGCCAGTCGTACTTTGCCATCAACACGGCCAGCAGCCGCAGCGCCACCACCACCAGGGCCTTCTCTGCCACCTCCGTGCTCAGCAGCTCCACTGCCACGTTCACCAGCTTCTCCCTGCACGGGAAAGGACACATCAGGAGGAGCCTCCTGCCAACGTCACCAGCACCCCAGGCCCTGCAGCCCACCCTCTCCCTGCCCACACGGCTCTACCACCTCTGGCTCAGCCCCAGCAATGAGCCTGCCTGGGACAAAGGGACACAAGATCTCTTCTTGCCGAGCACACGGGGACATACCGGCCTTCCCACCCCCACTGCCACCTCCTGCACTCCCACCTCCACTGCTGTCCCCCCACCCTGCCGACACGGCCCTCCCCAGCCAGCAGGAGGGCTGCGCAGCACCCCACGGCTCACCCAACGCTCCTGCTCCCCAGCCTGCCCTGGGCTTTGCCAACGAGGTGCTCGGACTCAGGCTCCTCCTCCAGGATCCTCACGATGTGCTTCAGCCCGGCCAAACGCAGCCCAAGCTCAGAGCTGCCGCTCCGGATCACGTCCACCACGGCTGCAATCTTGGCCAGCGAGCCCCCCTCGCTCACCCCCTCGCAGCTGCCCAGCGCTGGCGGGAGGAAGGCAGGGACACAGGGTCAGGGCAGCAGGAACATCCCCAGCGACTCCCGGGGTGCCACGCACCCACAGCGCCCACAGCCCCCCTCCCCAGGCAGCCTCCGGGCACCTGCCCTCCCCAGCCCTGCCCAGAGCCTTCCTCCCTCGAGGCGACGGAGCCGCCAGCACCCTCCCTGGCCCCGGCGCAGCAGCCTCTACCTCTGATCTGCTCCTCCGTCAGCTCCGGGAAGAACAGCCCTTCCCTCTCCAGGAGCTCGCTGAACAGCTGGGAATCCGACTTGGAGGCCGCAGCGGGGCTCTGGGGAGGCACTGGGGCTGCAGGAAGGTCTTCCTTGGCTGCCTTGGCTGCTGTGGCTTCAGGGCCAGTGCTCCTGCAGCCGGCACCCTCCGAGGACACTGTGGGGCTCCCCCCACCATCCTGCTCAGCCCCCCCACCCAGGAAGTATTTGGCGTAGACGTGGGAGCCGCGCAGGTCCCGTTGAACGCCGCCCTGGCAGCGCTTCTCCAAGACATGCAGCACCTTCTGGGCCAGCTCCACAGGCACCGACAGCTGGATCAGGGCTTCTTCATCCATCTCCAACAGCTGGACAGACGGGCTCAAGTCAGCCCTCACGGACTCCCCACAGACCCCACGCCCCTTGCCACAGCCAGTGCCACAACGCACAGAAAGGCTGCGCTGCCGGAGCCCCCCAGGGCCATTCCCCAGTGCCACCCTCCCCTGGCTGCCCCCAACCCAACTACCACCAGCCTCTGGTGCCCACCTGCACTCACCACAGCCAGAACCACCCCACGGGCTCGCCTCGCCTCCCAGACCTCGCTGGACACAATCACTCCTCCAGGGCCACGGGAGACCGCGTTTCCCCATCTCCCCTCACCCCTTTGCTCTGCCCAGCTCCCCACGCTTTCATCACCCCCCACTCTAGACCCACTTCTGCCCCGTTCAGGCTCTCCCTGCACAGCTCAAACCTTGTCATCTCCTCCTCTGGCCCGCTGTCTTCCCCAACGCTCTCCCTCCCTCCCGTTTCCCCACGGCAGGCTCCAGCCCGTACCTGCCCTCCCTGGTCCTGCTGGATGAGGTAGGTGATCTCTTTCTGCTCCTGCGCTTCCAGCTTCTTCACAAAGAAGAGCAGCTCCCACCACTCGGCGCGGCTCAGGGCCCCTGCAGCCTTGGTCGGCTGCTCCCCCAGGTAAGGCAGGGAGTAGAGCCCCCCAAAGGGCTTGCAGAAAAACGGCTGCCCAACTGCAGGAGGGCAGAGGAAGGAAGGGAACCGTCAGCTCTGCCAATTCCCCCATCCTCTGCTGCACAGCCATTCCCCACATCCCCACTGCCCCACAGCCTGCCGGGGGAAAAGCAGGTGACGGGAGGGCAGCGAGACAGGGGGAGCACGCTGGGAGGAGACCCCAGAAG